CATGTTTTTTAGTTCCGTTATGTCGTTTGGTTCCGTAGCATTTTTGATTTGCAACTGATTATTGTTGGTATTATTGAAATACTGGGTTTCATTAATTTTATCTTTTGTTATTGCGGCATATGAGATGGTTGATTGTACTGGTCTGAATTGGGTTTTGTCTGCAGACTGATCCCTTGTAGTTTGCTTGGGTCTTAGGGGTGGAAATTTTTGCTTGATCAGCTCTTTATATACAGAACATCCTTTGTAATTAGCTGGATGGTTCTCGTTACAATGGACGCATTTGACGTTCTTATTTGTCTTTTCTTTCCATGAACAGTTGGTTGTATGGTGGTCTTCGGCGCATTTTACGCACCTTGGACTTCTGTGACAATAGTTTTTGGTGTGTCCATATCTTTGACATGTCGTGCATTGAGGTATTTCTCTTCTTGGTCGCGGAGGTTCTATGCTGATTTGGCATTGCATCAGATATTTTATTTCATAAATTGTTTTGTTATTTTCTTTTTGTTCTATTTCTACAAAGAACATGGAGAGGGGGTACTTTTTGACTCTGTCCTTAATATTCGATATGTTTTTTACTTTGTGGCCATAGGATTCAATCTCGGTTTTTAGATGGTTTTGGTCCGTTGTATAATGCAGATTTCGAATTATCACTTTAAAAGGTATGTCCTCTTTACGTAGATAAGAATGGAATTCGGTCTTCTTGTCTTCTAAAATTTTTATGATGGCTGAGTATTTTTTAGAATCCTTTAATTAAAATCCTATTAATTAGAATCCTAAAATATTAGATCGAATTTAATATTGAGATTTTTGGCCATAATTTTTTTGCTAATTAATGGCTACTTGCTAAATTCTGATCGTCAAACAGCTCTTTTAATTTTTATTGCATTTTTCGGATATCTACTATGCTGCTATGCTTTCACGTATATGTGTTAATAGTATTGTATTCCAGGCTTCATCATCATCATCATCATCAGTCTATCGACGTCCACTGCTGGACATAAGCCTCCTCAAGTGACTTCCATTTTTCTCCATCTTGCGCGGTTGCAATTCAGTTTGTGGGTATTTGCTTCAAATCATCCGTGCATCGGGCTGGCGGTCTCCCTACATTTTTCTTGTCATCCCGAGGTCTCCATTCCAGTAGTTTCTTCGATCATCTCCCGTCTCTTGTTCTAGCCACATGTCCAGCCCACCGTCATTTCAGCCTTGTAATTCCTTCTATTATGTCTTGGACTCTCGTTCTTTGTCTCAAATTTTGTCCCTCAGGCTCACACGAGATTTTTTGGCCAAAATACCCTCAAGATGTCAAGTTTTAAAACAATTCAGGATTTTGCCCAGGTGAGTGCCAAACCTGACACTGATCAGTCAGTCTGTCCCGAGGATTCTGAGGGGACAAAACCTTGACAAAAAAAGAATAACCAAAAATAGGCTTTACCTACACCCAGCTATTTTTAGTTTCTGTTTTTTTCCTTTTATATTCAGTTTTTGTTTGTGTGGTAATGTTACCTTTAACTTGTACTGTAAATATCTGAAGAAAAATTGTGTCAAAAATGTTCTGTTGAAAATAAATTTGGCACTGACTTATTTTCAATTACTCTACTCATGAGACATGCATAGACAAATCTTCACTATACACAGGGATTCAAAATTAAAAATATTGTTGCTTAATTTACGATTTAGGTTTTTGCAAATGTCTTCTAGATAACACCGCCATAGGAATTATGTCTATTTTCAATTATCCATCCATCGATATGTTTGAACTGATAATTGTTCAATTGGATATTTTTACATTTACTTCCCATGAATTCATTAATTTCAATTTTATTATTATACCCAAAGAGTTGATGTTATGACATGTAAACTGATTGTGCTTGGTAGCGATGTAATGGTGGAAGATTTGATTCTGTCCAATCTTATTTTATTTTAGTCATTCACCAGGACATCCAGTCACAAAACATGATAAGGAAAAGTCAGTTTTAATGTTGCCGCTAAAAAGTTCTGCATGCTTATGATTTTGGTACGACATGTACAAATCTTGATCAACTTGACTGCACGTTATTAAGAAAGCAGTCATTCGTTTGATAGCTTTATTGATCTGTATCGATCGACAAAAAAGACAGAATAACCGAAGGAGAAAGCGGATTAGACTGAGGGAGAATCTAGATTAAAACACGTAAAAAATGGGGACATAGGAAAAGAAATGAAAGTAAAAGAAACAATCGTAGAATAACTAAAGAAACAGACATAAGAAAGACTGCCGAGAAAAATATTGGAGTACTGGATTGGAATATTGGAGAATTGGAGTACCTCCATCAGAAAGAAGAAAAGAAGATGACCGCCAACAACCTGGATACAAGGCATTAGAAAATCGATCTCAGTCAGAATCCTCTTAAGAGATGACTGGAAACGAGATCCCAAAGGCGTGTAACGCCATGAGCGGGATTCATATCGAATATCGATCGACAATTCATAACTCACAGCAAATATTCTTTGTTAAGACTAAGTTGGGTTGTAAGTCGTAGTCTTCGGCTTTAGTCTAGTTGGATCCCAAACTTCTTAGTCATGGTCGTGTGCAAAGAAATCAATAAAGCTACCGAGACCAACTAACAACACTTACATACAGTATCAGGCAAAGGTACCAGAAAAACAAATTTGAAATACTTTCTTTTAGTGATACCAATTTATTCTAAGTATCTAAAAAACAGTACAAATCGAAATTAGACTCTCTAGCTCTAGTAAATGCTTTATTGACATGCTGCAATCCTATGATTTGCGTAACGTAGTTCTCTCCGGTATCGACACCTCATAGACAGGCTCGTTTCCTTCGGAAACCCAAACACTACCATTTGATCCTTTGGTGATCAAGGTGATCATTCCTTGTGCTACATTGGATGTTCTGAAATTAAAATAAAACGTTATTTTGTTACTGCAGCGCACATTTTCAATTATAGTTTGTTTTTCGTAATAATTCCGATGACTTGTAAATAAAAGTTAAAATTTCGGAGCACAGTTCTTCACTAACCAGGAATTTTGCATCTAATGCATAATACTTAATACTTTACTTACGGTTGAGCGGGTAGAGATCCAAGTTCGTTTGCTAACAATTCTCCTAATTTAGGATAACCCTGTAAAGCAAATCTATTTGCGTCTGAGATAAGGGGTGTGTCAGTTACTCCAGGGCACATGGTTACAAACTTAATTCCTGTCAAATTCCAATAGTAATCTGTACCAAATGATCTGGTCAATCCAACTACAAAATGTTTCGTTCCAACATATATGGGGCATCCAGCGAGTTTTTGCAATCCCAATATTGATGCAATATTGGCAACAACACCACCTTTTCCTCCGTTATTTTTTCCAAGATGTTTAACGGCCAGTAGACTTCCTTCCACGACAGCATTCTAGAAGTAAACATTTATTACTTAATACATTGCATTTCCACACCTATTATTAAAGATGACAAGGGCTCTTAGTGAATACGACTTAAGAAATACTTACACAATTCAGAGCTATTTCCTTTTCCCAGTCAGCATCATACATAATTCCTGCATTGTTAATAACGATATCTAACCCTTTAAATTGAGCGATTGTCTTATCAAATGCGGCTGAAATAAAATACAAACATAATAAACCCATGAAAGTATAAAATTAAATAAAAAACAACATTAAATTGTAGAGTTAAAATATTTATAACTAATCACTA